CGCGTAACCAGAGAAGACACGTAATATGTTGTCAACGTGACCCTCTAGAATGACAGATGCTGGAAGCTATTTAAACAAACGCAGCGGTCTTGCCGGAGGTTCGGAGATCTGAGGAGTCTGCAACACGGGTGATCGGAACAGAAGACTTGATAACAACAGGGTACATTTTGAGATGCGCAGGCGCAGGAGGTTATATCACGGGCCGATAGAGCGGCGGACTGTCAACAAGCAGGCGAGATAACCGGCGCTTGTCCAGGCAGTCAGCAGTCGTATCGGAGGCAGAAGACAGAATAGGTTGGTGAGGCTCAAGGAAGACTGGAAGGCGAAGAAGGAACGAGTCAGCAACGATCTTATGAGTATCTCTCCACTTTAGCGCTCGTCTATGACTCTTACGCCGGATCTCACGGTGAGGGTCCAAGAGTCCGATGACTATATGGGGGGCGGAGCAATAGACAGTGACTAACTGGTGGTGGCGGCCAGACTAAATCACAGGCAGAGATGGCAACCTGAAGCTAGCCGGAGGCGAGTGGAACGACGCAGCAGAGAGTCAAACAGCGAGAGAGAAAAAGGAACGAAATTAACTTACGCAGCAGCCAGTGGCGAGAGTGGCGGAAGTGGTCTTGAGACTCTTGGGCGGATGCAGGGACCACGCTTCACAGTCTTTCACAAAGCGGGCGAAAAAGGGTGAGCGGAGAGGCAACGGGAAGAGCAGACGAGCCAAACAACTGAACAGGAACCAAGATACAAAGTGAAGCAAGATTAAACAAGGAAAACTAGTATGACTCTACACTCTCAGTCACACTTCCTTTCTAGTGAAAGAAAGAAAGAAGATGACAAGCGTGTGGGAAGGGGAGGAAGAGAGGAGGGGAGGGGGAGGAATATTAGTGAGTGAAGGGCGAGAGAGGGAAGAGATGGCAAAGTAAGAGTCAAGTTCCAGTCTAGTCACAGTCACAGTCAAGTCAGCCCTGCTGGCAGAGGAGAGAGGGAGAAGGAGGAGGGCCCGGAGTAAGTAAAGTAGAAGGGGAAGGCAGACGATGATCGGAACCAGGACGGGAGCGGATGGGAGTGGAGGGAGGAACGATGACTCTTCACACGCCCGTCCGAGATAGGGACTGCCCACTACTGGACAACTTCTGGGGCCCGGGTTGGGCATGGAGGCTTTTCAGTTTGGTTTGGTCTGGTTTTGGTTCTGGAATCTGGTACTGGTTCTGGTTCTGGTTCTGGTTCTGGCTGTCTCTGACTCTTGACTCTGGTTCCTTTCCACTCCTGGTTTTCGCCTCTCAGCATTCCCATTATTCATGAGTATTCATCTCATGTCTTCATGGCCCTGGAGGCAAAATTCCTCTCCCTTCTCTTTTCGCTTCCCATGCCCCATGGTCGTCGGGAGTCTGCCGACTCACAGCTTACAACTTCAGCCTACTTCTCAAGACTTCGTATCCCATGTCACTTGTCATGGTCCTACAAACAACACAGCGCCGGCACTTTTCCTGCCTTTCTTTTCTCACGTCGCATGACTAAGATTCCAAATCCACCTCGATCCGATTCTAGTTATGGCCATTACCGAAGCCGTCACAAAGGGTATCGAACATAGATAGTACTGTCATTGTGTAGATAGATAATACGACGTCGCAGAGCCCGATAACAACCATTAGATCTCATAGTCTGATAAGGGGGAGGGATAGTCTCTTTTTCCCTCCGCGCGACTATTGCACAGCCGATCCCGGGTACTAGACTATCTGCGGTTTATCGCCTAGAGACAGCGCGCGCGCGCATTTAGGTGCTTATGACAGTGACAGTGGCTGTTGTCCTACATGGTTGTCAACCCTGGCTGTGAAAAGAGAGATACATGATAGAGCAGAAACCAGCACGGGCAGCTGCTTTTGACGTACGCAGCTGAAGTTGTACTGTACTGCAAGGCAGCTGCCGCCCGTTCCATCTACTAGGTAGGGGAGGATGGATGGTTGACGTCTTGTCTCATCCCAGAAATAAGCATAATCCAATAGATTGAAGCGATGAAACCGGGTTGTCATGAATTTTAGTTGAAAGAAAAAGAAAATAAAAGAAAAAGGGATGTCGTCTATGTACGGAGGGATGTATGTAGGTTGGTCCATAAGCACCGGCCCCAGTGTAACATAAAATGAACGATCCCTTCTCATTGGAAGGGAGAGGCCTGCCGCTTCCGTCAATGGCCCAGCGAAAATTGGTGGTGGTCAGCCAACCACCGCGGACGGATTTGCCAGCCACGCCACCACCGTCAGAAATGGGGGAATGGAAAAAGAGAAGAAAAAAAGGCTCTGCTGAGGCAGTGACACGTACATACATGGCGAAAAATGGACTCGAGGAGATTATTGCTCTCCTCCTGTCTCCTGCCTTAAAAATTTGTCGTCGTCATTTTGGGGCGTTTAGCTACTATTCTTGTTTTCTGCCCAGACTTGGTTGCTAGAAAGGGGAAAGGAGTTTTGGATGGGGCTGCTGAAACTGCACTGCACAAACACAGCCTGCTGGCTATGCAGCTATCACATCTAAACATGTCCCCTTTCCCCTTATGCCCCGTCTTATTGTGCTCATCTTACTTGGTCGCTTGAGGGGGATGAACATGACCTGATGCAGAGAGCACAAAAAGTAACAGACCACGACCACGGGAGCGCTACTGTACCATATGCTGGAGCCAGGACGAACAACTGGCTGTGGAACCGCCCCCGGTCGCAGTAAGATTAGGTAACCAGGGTGGTGAGTCCAGGCAGCAAAGATGCAAAGGAAGAAAACAAGAACCAGTGACAGTGAAGCAACCATCGACAAGCGCCGTCTAACTAGTTCGCCTACTCGGGACTTAATACGACTTAGTATCTAGTAGCCTCCGTCGTTGCTCCGTAGATGATGCTATATCCAACCAATCCTCTCGTCCCGCGGCCCATTGTATGATCATGAACCAAAGCTACTACGGTTTGCCTTTCCGGGGTAGTCTGAGGCTACGGACTCCTGGCCTAACTAACCACATCATGGTATGGACTAACAAGTAAGCCGTATCCACCTCGAGGACCCAGCAAGACGTCAAGGGTCATCTTCGGAACTGTTGTGTAAGGGTTCTGTGTGAGTGTAAGGAACGTCAGATGGGTCGAAGTCATACAGCCTTAAATGGAGCAGATATTTACGGGGTACATCTCGTTCATTGTGAGACAGTGTAGTGGGTGATGGCGATGATGATGCACGGCTAAGCCGGTGAGTGCATAGGAACAAGTCTGGACACATAAGCACTACATAATCACATCACATGATTCCACTGTTCTTCCACACCTGCCCTTTTAAAAAAGGTCCAGGATAATCTTCCCCTATGCAAAGTAGTTTATAGTTCATATGCAATAACTGACTAAAATAATGCAAACCAAGGTTGGGTCACTAAGAACCCCGGGGTCAAACGGCGTCTGGCTTACAAAATAAGCTGGGTATCAATCTCAGAGTAGTAGACTAGGCAGTGGAACTCTAAGAATAGGCAGACGACCATTGGTCAGACAGCAGAGGATGGCCATATGATAGTCGTAGTATCAATCATCAAAGGGCTGGCTGGACTGCCGGGGGTGACAAATCTCATGACCTTCCCTACCCGCAGAACCCGTACACTGAGTCATGGCGTGGGTGGCTGTGGGATAATCCGACCACCAAGAGAAAAAAGACCTGAATGTCCTTTTGCACTTCTTCCAAAAAGGACAGCCAAAGCCGAAGAGGGGTGGAGCCACACCGCCCAATGAACGCGGGGTTATCAGGCTGTCCCGGTGAGTTTTTGTTGCCCACTTTGGCTTCGCTGGTTGGCCCGGCTGTCGCTGGAAAGCCCCACCCTCCCGATTGATCCCGACTCGGACTTGGTGGTTTGGAGAAGCATCTGGCAGTCAGGATCATAGCAACTTGTCTAGTATACAGATGGTTAGATAGTCGGTAGAGGTCAGAAATGAGGAGTCACGGTCAGCCTAAAGTCTCGACCGGACTGTGTCATCGGTTTAGGCTCAGACGGCATGTGCGAAAAGTTTAGCTCTGTCAAAGCCTGTCCGGTCATGTTTCAGGCTTTGGCAACAGCAGGAAAATATATTTTGTCAAACGGATGTGAAGTTAATATCACCATCCCGGTCAGAACTGTAATACTGTGAATGCGAGACAGTACTATAATACTAAGGAGTATACTACTAGTAGCCTTGCATTAAAGACGCCAACCTCAAACCTTGCTAGAGGGAAAAACACTATCTGCAATCCAAGTCAAAAGTTCAAACAACTTAAAACAGCCCGTCACAAAAAGTACCTACCGTTACGCTCGGAGTGTTGGTTATACGCATCAAGCGAAAGACTAAATTGGCAACCGGCGACAATACAACAAATCAGCGCAGACAACTTCTCTCCGGATCCCGCAGGATAGCAAATCCTTTTGTAGGACTGTCAAAGGCTACGGACGAGGCAGCAAGCAGCTCCACCGTCTAGAACGGGATGGAAAGAACCTTACTGGCAACCCCTCTTTGGGGAACTCGCATGAAGGATGCAGGCTAATGCCGGCCCATGCGGGCGACAGGATGTACTCCCCTTAAACGAGGTACCACGGGCCAGGATGCTGGATGAATGACTGGTGAGCGTTGGTATCTTGTTCTGGGGGGTGGTGCTTTGGGCGAAGGATGAGGTCACACGATGTGAAGGAAAAAAAAAAAAAAATAGGCAAGGAGGGAGGGTCGGAGATATGCCAGCCATCACGGGATTGCACAAACTTTGTATTGATGAAAAGTACCGACAAAGCCACGAGGATCGTCTCATCAGAGGGGTCCAATCCGGTTGTAGTCAAAACTCAGCTAACAACATGCCGTAGACTCAATAGATGGGTGTCCATTCAGATGGAGAAGTCTATTATGAGCGATATATACAACTACATCCGAGACAAGCCTTAGTGTCTGATTCGCATATCGCTATTGGACTGATGCAGCCTTCCGAGCATGCTATAGACGAACCACGGTAATCGTGGCACCATCTCATTTTCTTCCAGCCCATACTTGTTCACAGAACGCCGTCAAATCATCAAGGAAGTCCTGTGGTCTTTCCAACGCTGCAAAATGTCCTCCCTGTGGCGTGTCAGCAGATGCCGCCAGATGCCGCCAGCAAGACTTGGTAAGCATACCTTCTCGTGAGCTTGCCAGAACACCAGGTTTCCGGTTGTCTCAACCCAAGCGCGTGGGGTGGGTACAAGCTCCTTCGGATAATATGAAAAGCCAAATGGCTTGCGGATGTACCATCGGGGGTCTTCGGCCTGTCTCAGCTTGGGCGGCGGGACGTTCTGGGTCAGGGTGAGTATGATTACGAGGTTATAGGCTGAGGTAGAGTCAACATACCTCCCGATAGTGGTAGATAGACCGGGGGAATGTTTCAGTAAACCAGTACAGTGATACAGATTCCAGGATAGTCTCCAAGGGTATAGCCTCATCAGCCCAGTCGAGGAACTTCTCTCCAATCCTGTATGTTTCGTTAGTTGATTGATAAATGGTGAATGGAAGTGCATACCAGGCGAGCAGCGCCACCGGATTTGTGGATAGTACGTTACCGATCGTGCTGGGTCGAGTACCATGCTCGAGAGCATATCCGCTGCCATAGGTACCAAACCACTGAGCGCGAGCCAGCGCGCGTTTGTCTTCCTCAGTAATAGCGGTGTCTGGTACGTTGGAGGGCTTTCCCATATAGCACGCATTCACTAATGATGGTTAGATGAAAACGTCTGCAGCGAAGAGACAATCGGCAGCTTACAATGCACAGCTTTGCAAGATTCATGATCAACTGCAAGTATGCGACCGATCCTTGATCCAATGTCTCCACCTTGTGCCACATAGCCATCCTCGAAACCGAGATTGAGCATCACCTTGTTGATAACGCGGGCCGTATCAACGCCAGTGAAGTTAACATCCAGCGGAGGACCAGATGAGAACGTGAACCCCGGAAGCGACGGAATCACAATATGGTATGGCAGGTTTTCTGGGCTATATTTGTCCCGAATTGAAGTCAGAGCGGGAAGAAACTCGAGAAAGCTGCCTGGCCAGCCGTGGAGAAGAACAATAGGGATTGCATCCTTTCTCTCGGAGAATAAAGCCACAAAGTGAATGGTCAGGCCCTCGATATCATACGTGAACTGAGGGAAGCTGTTGATACGGCTTTCTGCTAATCGCCTACATTGTTCAGCTTTGCTGAGTTCAGCCAGTTGATGGATCTTACCATTCAAACCTCTTCCAAGCCTCCTTTGCATTGGCGAGCCAATCATTGGTTATACCATATTTACGATCCTGCTGAAGACCTTCGTATGTTGGAGGTGCGAGCTTTGACAGCTTGACCAATAGCTGCAGCTCCTCGATTTGCTCGTCCCGAATATGGACCTGGAAAGGAGATGGGATGACAGTCGCACCTGAGGGGACGTTACCGAAAGCAAGTGCCATTGTGATATCAGAAGCTGTCAGAGAGCAGATGTTGAGCAGAGGAAAGCTACAAATGTGGTGAAAGCAAGGAGCGGGGTGACTTGCTGTTGCATCACATGGTTTAGTTGTACTAATATAGCTCATGTCAGCAAATTTCTCGGTGTACTCACAAAGTTAGCATGCAACCGCGTGGGTTCAACTAGGACAGTCGCTAACTACAACAGAAGGTTAGTGGTATTGTGGAGTTCTATGGCTGCTTACGAGACCCGAGAGGTTTACGAGCATCTAGTTATAGAATTTTCTATTAGGAAAGGCAGCAATGACATGGGTCTACATGTCTGCTGCCTGTCAGGTCTTTTCACGGAGAAAACTGTCTCAATAGCTGTCAGAATGGCCATTTCTGTTGTCAAAGATCTACTAGGTAAGTCTAAATTCCTGCTATGATTTCCTGCAGCAGCTCAACAAGTGACGTGATTTCTTGCTCTGTCTGATGTTAGTACCCAATCGTTAAGAGGAGGTATAAACTGACCAGTGTTGTAATGAAGCATGCTAATCCGCACAACTCCATCCTCAACGTCGTCCAAGCCGATGATGTCCTTGAGCAACCGATGGCTATACATATGTCCGCTGCGAAAGCCGAAAGGGCTTCTTTTCTCTACCTCCTCAACTAGCGCTTGGCTCTTGATGCCCTTCACGGTGAAGCTAATTACCGGAACTCGTAGATCTTTGTTGGCGGAAGGCTCGCCATGGATGATTACACGGTCATTACTTCTCAGAAAGTTAAGAAGAATCTCCTGAAGCTTCTCTTCATAGGTGGCGATTTCGTCCCATGCGGCGGGGAAATCAGATCCGAAGTATTCCAGGACACGTGGAATGCTTTGTGTCAGCTCAAAGTTGGCGGAAGCCAGGTTCAGCCTGAGGTCGAGAGTTTCTGTGGATTTGAAGTAGTGGCACAGAGGAGTTATCTGATCATGGATTCGCGACGAGGCATACAGCTGGGCGATGTGAGGACCATAGACTTTGTACCACGAGAATGCCTGTTTTTGTTAGATCACGGTTTGTCTACACCCTGGTTTACTCACGTAGAAGTCGACATCGAGATCCTTGACGTCGACCTGGCGGTGTGGAGCAAGCGCGACGCCGTCAACGCAAAGAAGAGCCTATGTATCATGAGATGATGATCGAGTATATGCAGGAACGTCATACCCTAGGAGCCTGATGCACAACCTTGGCGATCTCCTTTACGTTTGTGATGGATCCTGTGATATTGGAAGCATGCGGACAGGCGACAAGTCTGGTCTTCTCCGACATCAACTGCTTCAGCTCAGAAGGATCGCAAACAGGGTTCAGAGGGTCTGAAGCCCCCCACCACTTGACCGTAAGCCCCAAACGACGCGCGATCCTGTCCCACGGGGCAGAATTGGCCTCATGATTCAGCTTGGACACGATCAGCTCGTCTCCTGGTTGGAAGTCTAGAGCTGTGGAGAGGTTGTGCAGGAGCTGCGTTGTTGAGACACCCAGGCAGATCTGCATGGATTAGCATTGTACATTGTTGAACAGGTTTCCATACCTCTTCAAGCTTCGCATTTATAAATTTTGCTGCTGCTTCGTAGCCGTGAGCGTAAGCGGCAGTTGAGACCTTGGAAGTATTGTAGGTTGCGCCCAATTGAACGTTAGTCTTCGAGAGATATGATGTCACCCTGCACTTGTTAGGGGAATTTGCTAATAGCTTGGGGGACATACGATTCGATCACTGTGTCCAACACTTGGCTGCCTCCTATATGCTGTTAGCAATTCCCCGTTTACGATACTGGTGGGTAGGATGTAACCGACCTGCATTGTCCAGGAAGATCTGCTCCTGGTTCAAGGCGGGGAAGCGAGAACGAGCCTGCGAGATGTTGAAAGACATGTTGAGTGGTACAGTTGGTAGGTGATGCAGTTGACCAAAATTGATGTTGTATGGGATAAACCGAGATACCTCGTGGCAGCCTGAGGGGAATGGCAGCGAGAGGGGTAAACTGGCATCTCCACTCGCCCCATTCTTAGCTTTATCGCAACTTCGGGCGCGTCCGAGTACTCAGCAACATCAGATCTACTAAGTGGTCAATTTTTGAACCATCTTGATTTCTCTATGCTGCCTGCTGACAATCATGATTATAGACTGCGACACTCCTGGAGACGGAGGCTACGCAAGCCGCACAATCACATCCCCAAGATGGAGCAGAATAAAGAAAAATGACTCGATTTGCAAATAAGAAACTCGATGAATCATTATGGCTAATGAAAAGACGCTTGGTAGCTCTATCTGCATACCGCAGCGAGCCGATCTCACATTCCATGCACCCTGAACCACGGTTCGATCGCAGAAGTTGTCGGTTGAGCCAGTGCCTGACGTCAGGTGGGAGGCCTCTTACTTTGCGTGATACTATAACTACTTATCAGCCAAAAATGGCATCCGCTGGAGCACCCCGCTATTCATGTCTTATCGAGTCTGGGCCGATAGTCTGTTCGGCGACGCATCCAATAGTAGGGTAGTGGCTATCGCAGCAGGGATGCTTATCATGCACCAGCTTATCTGGCTAGACAGATGGGCTGCAGATCGTGATTGTCAGCCTGCAGCTTTCTTCCTCCAACATTTAGACAGCGCAGCTTGTGCGACCGTATCCCTTACGTCGATCTACCATATTGCTTTTTCGCTTCCGCACTTCTGTATCGGCTGACTTCAACCTCTACCCACTTCATCTACCGCATCTCGGCGGCACCATACCTAATCATGAAGTTCAGACGGCCTCAGCTTCGAGTGCCACAGTCGCGCTCTGCTTTTGCGGATGGAAGTGCTCGCTGGACCAATCTCGATCTCGATCCAGTTCCTTTTCATCGTCGACAATGGGGACCGCTCAGCTTTATCTGTACGACTTCTTCTTCGTTACTCTTGCTGTGCTGACAGATGTACAGCGTACTGGGTCTCCGATGCCTTTAATGCAGCTACATGGCAGTTTGCTAGCAGTATAATAGCAGTCGGGCTTAGCTGGCGCGAATCACTCATAATAGTCGCGATTTCGTTCTTCATCATGTCTTTCGTCATCGCGGGCAACGGTGCTGTCGGTGCGATCTATCACATTCCGTTCCCGGTGATCTCACGGGCGAGCTGGGGATTCTGGGGATCATACGTCGCCATTGTCTCTCGAGTCATTTTGGCGCTGTTTTGGTTCGCGATTCAGAACGTCAACGGCGGAAACGCTGTGCGTGCAATGATCGGAGCCATCTGGCCTAGCTTCTTGAGGGTGAAGAACGAAATACCTGAGGATCAGGGTATTACAACGAATGGCATGGTCGGATACTTTATCTTCTGGCTGTTTCAACTTCCGTTTCTCTGCATCCACCCGAACAAAGTGCGGTGGCTGTTTGTGGTCAAGTCTGTGCTTGTGCCGATCGCATGGATTGCGATTTTAATCTGGGCGTTCGTGGCAGAGGGAGGGGGTGCAATGTTTGAGCAGAAAGCGACTGTCTCGGGGTCACAGTACAGCTGGGTGTTCTTGGCGAGCATGACATCGGTTCTGGGGAACTATGCCACTCTTAGTGTGAATCAGTCCGACTTTTCTCGATACTCGCGTGTTACGGCAAAGTGGCAGCTTCTCTACGTCCCTATGCTGCCTATCGTGTTTACATTCATCTCGTTCATCGGCATTGCTGCCTCCTCAGCTGGCTACGCCAGATATGGCGGATCAGTCCCATGGGACCCGATCGAGCTAATCAGCCACTGGTCCAGTCGGTCATGTCGCTTTTTCGCAGCCTTCTCATTCGCTCTGGCTTCCCTGGGTGTCAACATCTCCGCCAACTCGATCTCAGCAGCCAACGATCTGATGGCCCTGTTCCCAGGACACGTCAATTTGCGCCGAGGCCAGATCATCTGCGGTATTTTGTCATGGGCTCTAGTGCCATGGAAGATTCTTGAATCGGCGGACAGCTTTTTGAACTTCATGTCAGCGTATGCCATTTTCCTGGGACCGATTGCAGCTATCATGCTATGGGACTTTTGGCTGCTGAAGCATGGAAAGTACGACACCCTGGCTCTGTACCAGCCAAACAATCCGGTGTATCGATACTCGAAATGGGGCGTGAACTGGCGCGCCATTGTGGCGTTTATTGTCGGCGTGGTGCCGAGTCTGCCAGGACTGATCAACTCTGTCAATAGCAGTGTCTCGGTTGGCGTGGGTATCCACCCGTATCAGTTTGGATGGATACTGGGGTTTGTGGGGACTAGCCTGGTGTATGTAGGTTTATCGTGGCTCTTCCCTGCCCGACATGCTATTATCGACAGGGCCGTGATGGCCGAAGAAATCTACGATGGACGGGAAGTTGACGGAGAATCCGAAGAAAAGTTGGACAACATGCACGAGAAGGCCAAAGTATAATACTTTTGAAGCATATAGCCAGCAACATAACAAATCTATAACAATGCACCCATAACACACATTATAAACAACAGAACCCAGTACCAAACGCCGTAGCAACACAACACAACACAACATGAAACAGCAAATCAATCAACCCTCCCAATCCGCCCCTCTGGCCTCCTTCAACACCTTACTCACAGCGGACGAAGCACGCCCAACCTCCCCGCCATCCTGCCTCGCACTCTCCAAACCACGCTCAACAGGAACCAAAAACCGTCCCTTAAACACCCGGAACCTCTCCTCCCTCGTCTCATACATCTCCCCTTCCTCATCTCTCGGCGCACCAAACAAATTCAAATACACATACGGCTGCGCCGACTTGGGCACCATATGCACATCCGTCTGCACAATCGGGAACCCACCACCAACACCAGTCCCACTTCCACTCTCACCCTCACCATCCACCTCCATCCCATCATCATCATCATCATCACCATCCTCCCCAATCCCAGCCTCCAAAAACTCCGCCAACACCCCCAAAACCTTGACCATGGGCTTCCCCTTCGCGCCGGCCTTCCCGAACGCGGCCCGATTACTCGACCACTTAGAGCTCTCCTCGGTATGCCAGCCCAGCACAGAGAGGAAGCAATTCAGCGTCTTGATCCATCCGCCCGCGCACGATACCACGGCTTCTCCGGCAATCTCAACCAGCCAGGAGAGGACGTCCACGGCCGTGACGCGGATGTCGGCGGCTAGATGCGTCATGCCGGCGCGCACGTACGGCATTAGGCTGGCGACGTGGTCTTCCACGTCGCTTGGGGGCAAGGTGCGGAGGAGCTTGAGGAGCTGGGTGCGCACGGTTGTGCTGGCGTCCAGGATTAGGGGGGAGAGGGTGGGGAGGAGGGTGCTTACGGGGATGGGGAGGGGTTGGGATGTGGGGGCGGAGGTGAGGTGGGTGGTTAGGTGCGCGAGGGAATCGCGGCGCTGAGTGTCGGATTTGGAGTTTAGGAGGGAGACGTGGTGGGTGAATTGGTGGGTGGTGCTGGGGGCGTGCAGGGAGAGGGATTGTTGGGTTAGGGTTATACCTATACCTTTATTAAAAGGATATCACGGGTGGAAGGGTGTAGTGGGGAAATTAGTTACTTTTGGATTTGAAGCTCGTGTCGGTGAAATTGTCCGGTTTGGCTTTGGCTTTGCCGACTTTGAGCTTGGGTTTCTGGTGGGAGTGTTAGTATGTTGGTTGGTGGGTATGGGAGGGGGTATGGATGGGATGGGGGTGGGTACCTGGAAGTCCTTCTGCTTCTCCTTCTTCTTTTTGGAGCTGGAGCCCATGGCTACAACGTATAGACTCTGTGTTTCTGGGTAGGAAGGGTGTATATGTTGGTTATGGGGTGATTGGGGCGTGGTTGCTGGTTGATGTTGTTGTATGAATGCGATGAATTTTTATATGGTCACGTGTGTCATGTGATATGGTGGATGTCATTGGTCAATGCATACAGCTACACCAACTGATATTCTATATGTAGTAGGAAGCAGACACTGCTGATAATTAAGATACAGCTATTGTTGATCATTTACACTACATGTCTATATTCTACATTATGTATGGTACTAATTCTCAACCGTACCTTCCTACTATAACCACAACACAACACACCACACCACACCATAGTCCACTTACACTACATCCATCCTCCTAAACTACCACTATCCACTACACTATACTGACCATCTCCAACAACCACAATCACAATGATTAATCCAGTCACCCTCCCAATCTACACACACCTCATCCCAGCACTCATCCTCCTCGTCACCCCCATCCCAATAACCCCCCTCCCAAACCTCCTACTCCTCCCCCCAACATCCCAAACCCTCACCCTCCTCCTCTCCACCCTCTACCACGTCCACGAATACAAATCCCCACAAACATCATCTACCTTGTACCTCCGTCTCGATCAGCTGGGTATCATCCTCCTGATTGTGGTGAACTCCATCACGGGGATATATTTCGGCTTCTATGAGGATACATCCATAAGGGATGGGTATATGGTATTAGTAAGTACTAACTAGTTAGTATATATTACTATATACTGCTCTCATTGCTAACAATAAGCACCTGAACTAAATGAATAAATTAGATATTCAGTCTGTCTATATTCCCAATAACAACACACCTCCTCCTACCATCCCGATACACATCATCCCCCGAATACAATACCTTACGGATTATATCCCTGACAGTGCCCGCCCTATCGGCAGTCATACCCATATTCCATGGGTATCTCCTCCACGGCGGAGAATATCTCCTATCTGTCGGGGTGGGGTGGTATATCTCTGAGGGGGTGGTGGTTCTTTTGGGTGTTTTTGTGTTTACCTCGTATGTATTTCTGTTTCTCTATTTCATTTATTCTTTCATTCCTACTACTACTATCTTTCATCCTTCTGTCTTGGGTAGAATGCTAATGAGGATAGACACGTTTCCCCGAGCGGTGGTATACTTCATTCCTCTGGACGGAGGTGTGTACTTCGCATGTTGTGTGACATGTTTGTGTTGTTGTTGGGATTAGTTTCCATTTCATGGGTGTCATGCAGGCTGTACGGTTCTGGTTTGAATGAAGGGATGATTGAAAAGGAAATAATGTCAGTTCATTGAACCATCCTTAGACTACCTAGCTATTCATAATCACAATCAATCACAATCACAATCAAAGCAGAAAATCACTCTAAACAAGGAGATGCGCACTTCTGCCCGGTCCGAATTCTGAAACAAACAAACGTAACACAATAAAATAAAATCATCAAAATCAACATCAGCAGCAGCACAGCAGAATGGACCGGACAGACGCGATTGTATCAAGCAAAAACACACAATAAAATCCTCCCGCTCATCCATCCCCTTCATTAGACATGTACTAAGCTTCCCCAAGAACCGAAATCGCATCACTCATTAGACCTGCCGCCAGCCAGCGCAGACCATTACCTTGCATATTACCAACTCCTGCTCGTCTAGCGAGAACTCCTTTGCTGCGCGGTCATGTCTATCGTGGAACATCAGAAACAAGAAAAGATTCATCCCGTGAAACTTGTCTGCAAAGTTTACAGACTCATAGTCAGCCACTCCCATTCCTGGCTGGCTCCTTGCCCACCGGCGATACTGTGGTTGGCCGGGTTGGCTGCCGCCGGGGGCATCGCCGGCGCCAGAGGCACCACCTTGGACCGTCCGCTCGCCGTGCTCGACTTGCTGGCTTCGTCGCCGCCCGCCTCCGCGTCCGTGGCCTTTTCCAGCCGACGCTGACGCTTCGGCGCCATCTGCACGGACGAGGTTCCCCGACTCTGTCCTGGAGAACTCGTCGTCGGGTTCGCCTTCGGAGGCGCCGCCGCGATGGGGACCACGCCTGCGGCTCTGCCCGACGTACTGCCACCCGGCACCGCGGGCGGCGACTCCGACGACGTCGCACCACTCTGCGCCCGGCTCGACGTCGGCGTGGTGACTGTCGTCTGCTGCACCGAGTTCTTGCGGGCCGACTTCTTCGACGCGCGCGATGTGCCCACCGCCAGACTGTTGGCGCTGCTGCGGTTGCGCTTCTTGATCACATCCGTCTTGAGCGACAGTGGCCGCACCACCCCGTGCAGCTTCAGGAACAGCCCGCAGGCGTTACACAGCGGCTGACCCTCAGGGTTACGCCGCCACAATGGGGTCGTCTGCGTGAAGCAGTTGGTACATGTGGTGGGGCCACTGCTCTGCTCACCGTTCTTCGAGCCACCCGGACTAGCCGGCCGAGACGGCACGGCACTGTTCAAGCCCGACTCTGGCGGTGTGTTGGGTGACGTGTGTGAAGTGTTGGCGTTCATGCTCTGCCGCAGCAGCTGCGCAGTATTAGGAGTCGACGTCGTCCGTGCAATCTTCTGCCGCCGGGGATCCTGCTCGCGGTTGCGCACCTCACTGACCGAGGCGGCCGAACCATGCGTGCGTCCCAGACTGCCGCTCTGAGTCCATTCACTGGGGGTATCCATCATGTCGGCGGATCCGATCGTTACATGCTTGCGGTGCTGCGCGCTGAAGCCGGGAAGCGAGTGGAAAGAACCAGGGAACTGAGCATCCCACTGCATGCCACCGTTCATGTCCGCGCCATCATCCAGATCACCGGGCATCGTCAATCCCGCACGGTCGGAAAACTGGTTACCCTCGTCATCCTCGTTGTCCGAATCAGCGCCGAAGCTGAACATGGCCGCATGGGAAGCCCCGGTCGAGAAATCGTTGGGGTTGAGCACTTGAGTAGGATCGACGTGCTGGGGCTGAGGAATGGGATAGCCCGGCGAGTGCATCGAAGACGAATGGTTGCCAGAGTGGTGCGACTGGTCCTGGCTCTGGTTGAACATGTATCGTGGCTGCAGCGAGGCAGACAGGTTCGACGTGCGGTGCGAGACATAGTTGGGGACCCGGCGCTGCGTGCGCGCATCCACGGATGGCATATCGAAGAACATTGAATGTTCACCATCATAGGCCGGCTGCGGTGTCGATGCAGTAGACTGGTATCCCGACGGCGGCGGGGAGAAGAAATCGGTCGAGTTGAGGGACGAGGCCACCGGCGTATGCGCATACAGGTTGGCAAAGGGGTTGCCTGACGTCATGGGGGACTCGGTGGGAGAAAAGGTAAACTGGGTCTGGTAGGGACCGGCGGAAGTAAGGATCGGATCTTCACTCAGGCCGTAGGTATCCAGACCAAACGGCATGCCAGGTGAAGTGTGGTTGTGGTGGGAGGAATGGTTGTTGTTATGGGACATCGCAAAAGCCGACGACGCATCGAGGGCGTAGTCAGGCACACCGCCCGACAAGTCCGGATCCTGAGCCAACATCGCGTTCGACACGGGCGGCACCTGGGGCGACGCCTCGGCCGGGCGTTTCCGAGTGGGCACCTGGAGGTTGAAGAACTGGCGCTCGTCGATGCTCGTCTTGCGCACCCGACGAGGTACGTAGCCGAACTCGCTGTTTCTTCGCTGGTCCTGGGGTGGGTGGGGGAACGAAGCGGGCACGGGCGTGGACTCAGCCACCTGGTCCTTGCGAGACTTGATCGGGATGGCTGCCGACGTTGACTCGCCTTTTGTGACTTGGGGAGATGGGTGATCGGACGGAGACTCGAAGGGAACAATGAAATCGTCGAGGTTCATAGGATCAGAGGTCAGGTCGGTGGAGAGAGAGGGATTTGCCGCGGTCGGCTCGCGATCAGTGAGACGCAGTTGAGCAATGCCACTAGGGCCGGAGACGCTGTTTCGAGCGGAGGCACTACTAATGACGCACGAAGTTCGATCAGCATTCCATCGAGCGACGGCAGGGGGGGGGGGGGGGCGCACAGCCGGGCGCTTGCGTTTTGTGTAGCTCTCACAACTACGGCGGAGGCCCACGTGACTGGCCGGTGGGCGGAG